GTGAAGTGATCAATCTTAAGAACAGGAACTTGCTTTTTTTTAAGAAAACAAACATTCCTGCAATGTGACCTGAATGTAAAAAAAAAGGTTGTGCAAGAACCCAGCAATCAATAATCCCCATCGGTGCTCAATGTGATCGTTCCTTCACAGGGTCACTCTCTTATGTGCTTTATTGAACGAGTCAGTTAAACAGCAGCCCATTCGAGAATCAACCAGGGCAGTGATTGATTGCTAATAGATACTACTGTACACCTCTAGTGAAGCCGGGACATATACAGACCGGTACGTTTAGATTTGAGTCCCTGTAAAATAACAAGTACTGTACTCGCTCCTTCCCACATCTGATTAGGTGTACACTGGAGTGCTCATACACACACAGACACACACACTGACAGACACACACGGACAGACACACACAAACACACACACAGTACTGTGTAACGTCCTCCTTACACTATTATCATCTTGGAGTTATTGCGCCAGTTTGGAAGGAGCAAAATGTCAAGGTGTTCCCACTGGAATCTCTCCACAATCAGCGTGTGTCATAATCTGACTTGTGAAGCTATCTCCCTGACTGGTGATCAGACCCAGGGGAGTTAGTTACTGGCGGGTTCCTGTGCCAGTTTAGGAGTGAGTCTAACAGAGAGGATGCGATAAGCCTCTTTAGGCAGGAGGCATGTTAGCAGGGCTCTGTTGCAGGGCTTTTTAGGGGGGGGGTCAAGGCTACCATTTACAAATGCAGCAAATGGTTTAGCTTGACCTGTACAGTAAAATGCTCCCGAAGCAATCCATTTCCACCCAGAGAGAGAGGCAGGTTTATTATCAAAAGGATCCAACTAACTGCAGCGTCAGATTGCATTCAGCAAAGCTAAGTTGCGTTGAAAATTCATGCAAAACACTCCATTTTGCAAAGGTTAAGGAGATTTCGTAAAAACAAAATATGTTTTTGTTACATATTTCTTTTTCTCTGCCCTGGGAATGCCTTATCTACTGACAAACGGGCTGACACCAGTGGTCAGGGAGAGGGTTGTTATATGAACGAGAACGTTTGTAGAGAGAAAGCACTTTCCCAGCAGCTGTTACAAGCCACATTCAGCCCAAAATAGCAGCAGTGTCTCGGCAGGTCTTATTGATGTGACTCACTCACTAATGCTTCAATTTAAAACTAGCTGACTGCCTACTTCAGAGCCCGGGCCAGGGCCTGAGGGGAATTACTTTGGATTTTTTAAAAATTATATATGTGGAAAAGGGCCCTTTCCATCCCTGTTTCACACGGCCTGCACTGCAGACACACATACACACACACACAATTAATTCATCTCAGAGAATCAGAGAACATCAAAGAACATCGCAGGTCGCAGAGCGAGGGAACATGTACAAGTTTGTTCAAACACCTTAAAATGAATATTGTGCCCGTGGACATCACCAAGCAGTGTGTTAGCACGGAGTTTACTTGCTGGCGGGCGGTAGCACAGTATAGGGTAAACACTGGTACAGCACAGTAATAATAATGATAGGAATAATAATCCTTGCATTTGATATAGAGCCTTATCGCATCGTTGAGACATCGCAAAGCGAATACAGAATATACTGTAAAGTGGTTTCACTGTGTATTTTGAGGGCAAAATGCAGCAGCCAACTGCACACAGCAGTGTCCCACAAACAGTCGTGGATTGAGTGATCAAATTATTGTTATACAAGCGATGGCACAGCACTTGCATTTATACAGTGCCCGACACACAGGATAATGTCTCAGAGCGCTTGACAGTGGCGGAGCACGACGCCGAGCCTGGGGGGGGGGGGCAGTGGGGAGAGGATGGGGGAGGGAAGAGACCCTAGGCATGTCGAAGAGGAAGGTCTTCAGGCGCGACCTGAAGATGGTGAAGGAAAAGGCAAGGCGGATGGACCGAGTGAGGGAGAGTGTTCCAGAGTTTCGAGCCATAGTGGGTGAAAGCGCAGCCACAGATGGTGGAGCGGTGGGCACGAGGGTCAAGCAGGAGGTCAGAGCCAGTCCAGCGGAGGGTACTGTTTGACCCTGGTGTCCTGAAAAGGGGTAAGGAGGTGGGTTTCGGAGATGCTCGAGGAGCTGCCAGGAAAGTGGTGAGATGAGAGGAGATATGAGACTCCTGTAGTAGAGACGTCAGGACCCAACGCGGAACTCGCTCTGTGTGTGTGTGTGTGTGTCTCTCTCTCTGTGTGTCTCTCTCTCTCTCTCTCTCTCTCTGTGTCTGTGTGTGTGTGTGTGTGTGTGTGTCTCTCTCTCTCTCTCTGTGTCTGTGTGTGTGTGTGTGTGTGTGTGTGTGTGTGAGTCTCTGTGTGTGTGCGTCTCTCTCTCTGTGTGTGTGTGTGTCTCTCTCTGTGTGTGTGTGTCTCTGTGTGTGTGCGTCTCTCTCTCTCTCTCTCTCTCTGTGTGTGTGTGTCTCTGTGTGTGTGCGTCTCTCTCTCTGTGTGTGTGTGTCTCTCTCTGTGTGTGTGTGTGTCTCTGTGTGTGTGTGCGTCTCTCTCTTGTGTGTGCGTCTCTCTCTGTGTGTCTCTGTGTGTGTGTGTGTGTCTCTGTGTGTATGTGTGTGTGTCTCTGTGTGTGTCTCTCTCTCTCTCTCTCTGTGGCTGCTTCATAAGCTCTGCTATACGCAGTGTATTAGTTACAGAACTCAATCGATGCCCCGGGAATGCTGTCAGCCTGGCTTTCTCGTGACTTGGTGTGTGTGTGTGTGTGTGTGGGGGGGGGGGTGTGATGGAGAGGGAGGGACGATAATAAAATCCTTTACATTAGAAGTGAAGAGAGAGAGAGAGAGACTCTGCACAAGTCAGTCAGCGGCGTCTTCAGTTTCCTCTCTTTGAAACCACAATATTCATTACTGCACAAAACACACACACAGTGAAACTCGCCTTAAACTGCTCAAGTCTCTGCTGTGAAAGACGCCCCATTCTATCTGCAAGAGGATAGGGGGCTTTGCTCTCCCCCCACCCCCCACCCACACCCCCCACTACTGTCTGATCAGCCCCACACCCCCCACCCCACACTACTGTCTGATCAGCCCCACACCCCCACACCCCAACACCCCCCACACCCCACACACACACGTTACTGAGAGTGGGGGACACATGGGATGGGGTTAACACCCTACGAGTTTCCGCAAGAAATGAAGGGTGTGAGTGTGAGAGCAAAAAACACACTCTCTCTCTCTCACTCTCACACACTCTCTCTCTCTCTCACACACACACACACACACACTCTCAGTCTGGGGTGATGTACAGTCAGAGACAGCCCCACTCTCCACACAGTTATTATTATTATTATTATTATTATTATTATTATTATTATTATATTCACACTCTTACACTCCAGATAGACAGCAGAGAGGAAGGAGTCTGTCTCACACTCACACACAGATGTGCTCACAATTTATCATTATTAATAATAATAATCATCATCATCGGTGTTACACTCAGAGCTGAGCCGCAGTGACAGCTCCTCTCCTCCTCTCCTCCTCTCCCTTTCACTCGCACTCGGCGGTGACTCAGACCCACCGACTGTCACCGGCTTCAGTGTAAGTGACTGTGACTCCGCGGCTCCGCGAGAGAATCAGCACAAACACAGGAGTGTGCGATACTCGGCGGCCAATAAACTGCATCAAACAGAGCGGAGAGAGAGGGGGAGAGGGAGAGGGGGAGAGAGGGGGAGAGGGAGAAGGGGGGAGAGAGGGAGAGGGGGAGAGGGGGGGAGAGGGGGGAAGAGGGAGGGGGGAGAGAGAGGGGAGAGGGAGAGAGAGGGGGAGAGGGAGAGAGAGGGGGAGAGGGAGAGGGGGAGAGAGAGGGAGAGGGAGAGAGGGGGGGAGAGGGAGAGAGAGGGGGAGAGGGAGAGAGAGGGGGGAGAGGGAGGGGGGGAGAGAGAGGGGGAGAGGGAGAGAGAGACGGGGGGAGAGGGAGGGGGGAGAGAGAGGGGGAGAGGGAGATAGAGGGGGAGAGGGAGAGGGGGAGAGAGAGGGGGAGAGTGGGAGAGAGAGGGGGAGAGGGAGGGAGAGGGGGAGAGAGAGGGCGGCGGCGGCTCCGCCAGTGCACAACACACCACACAGTCACTGCCACTGTCGGCGCCCACGTGTGCGGAATGAATGAATGAGTGAGTGAAGAAGTGAAGGAGGAATGAAGGAGGGAGAGAGGGAGGGAGGCAGTGAAGGAGGGATGAAGGAGAGAGTGAGTGAGTGAAGGAGTGAAGGAGGGATGAAGGAGAGAGGGAGTGAGTAAGTGAGTGAGTGAGTGAGTGAAGGAGGGATGAAGGAGAGAGGGAGTGAGTAAGTGAGTGAGTGAAGGAGTGAAGGAGGGATGAAGGAGAGAGGGAGTGAGTAAGTGAGTGAGTGAGTGAGTGAAGGAGGGATGAAGGAGAGAGGGAGTGAGTGAGTGAGTGAGTGAAGGAGTGAAGGAGGATGAAGGAGAGAGGAGTGAGTAAGTGAGTGAGTGAGTGAGTGAAGGAGGGATGAAGGAGAGAGGGAGTGAGTGAGTGAGTGAGTGAAGGAGTGAAGGAGGGATGAAGGAGAGAGGGAGTGAGTAAGTGAGTGAGTGAGTGAGTGAAGGAGGGATGAAGGGAGGGATGAGGGAGAGAGGAAGGGACTGAGGGAGGGAATGAATGAGTGGAATGAGGCAGAGCCGTTGGGGGGGTCAGTGACAAGTGTAGTGACTGTGGTGGCACTGACAGCCTCTTCCCGGCTCAGCTCCGGCTCCACGTGAAGCGGCTGCGGAGCCGCCACCACCGCCCGGTGAGAGGGGAGAGGAGGGCAGTCAGACAGGCACCAGCCCTCCCTCCCTCCCTGCCAGCCCTGCCACCCCTGCCCTGCCACCCCAGCCCTCCCTCCCTCCCTGCCAGCCCTGCCACCCCAGCCCTGCCCTCCTGCCACCCCAGCCCTGCCACCCCAGCCCTGCCCTCCCTGCCCTGCCCTCCCTGCCACCCCAGCCCTCCCTCCCTCCCTGCCCTCCCTGCCCTGCAGCCCCGGCACTGCCCTCACCTGTGGCTCCGCGCCCTCCGCCAGGTAGTTGAAGACGAACAGCGACAAGTCCTCATCCGTCAGTCCGCATTCCGCCATCTTCCCGCGGTCTGTGGTGCTCCAAACCGCCCCAGTGCTGCCCCCAGCGGCTGACAGCGCCACTACACCCCTCGCCCGGGGCTGCCCCCAGCGGCTGACAGCGCCACTACACCCCTCGCCCGGGGCTGCCCCCAGCGGCTGACAGCGCCACTACACCCCTCGCCCGGGGCTGCCCCCAGCGGTTGGCAGCGCCACCCACACCCCCCGCGGCTCAGTGCTGCCCCCAGTGGGGCTCTCTCAGCGGTGACCGGCGCTGATGGTGATTGATTTGCTGGAATGCTCGAGGTCTGGACCGGTTTGTGTCGGTGATAATTAATAATGATAATTAATAATAATTATATGGGCATTTGACGCGGCGCCGCATGTATCACGCGGTTCGGACGTCTCAAAGCGCTTCGCAGGATGCGCGGTCAAGCGGAGCGACCGCGCGCTCCGCGGGCGAAGCTGTTGTTGGAGTTTGCGGAGTGGCGCGAGTGCAAGTTGTTGTGGCTGCGGTCGTCGTCGTTGTTGCTGTGGGAGTGACCGTGCGCTCGGCGGCTGCCGTTGACCGCACTCTCTGGGGGCGGGGGGCGCGGGCGGGGGGGGGCGGGGGCAGGGGGGCAGGCGGGGCGGGGGGCGGGGGGGGGGGGCAGGGGGCAGGGCGGGGGCGGGGCAGGCGGGCGGGGGGCAGGCGGGGCGGGGGGCAGGGGGGGACGGGGGGCGGGCGGGGAGTCGTCTACGCTCTGCCCTCGGTGATCGCTTTACCTGCGATGACCGCCTCGTCGGTTCTCTGGCCGCTCCTTCGTTGGGGGCTGAACAGCGGGCGTGAAGGCGCTGCGCAGGTCCAGCTGTTCTCAGCCTCGCGGAGGTGAGTCACAGACGCCGAGGGAGAAGCCGCTCGCTTGCTGCTCCGTCTCCGGCACAATCCACTCCACGCGCAGTAAATATAGCAACTCAGATTAATACAATCCAACGGCATTAATAATTCAAAGTGCTACAAACTGTTCCCGTTGAATTTAAATGCAGAATAGGCACGGAAAAGGGTCGTAGGGAGTTTATTGCTCGTGTACAATCGACTGGATTCTCTCTCTCTCGCCCGCTCTTTCTCTCTCCCCTGTAAACGTCTGGACGAGGAGACCTGCCTTCGTTTGCCAAGCAATTAAAGGAAAGGAAACAATGAGTCCCATTCTCTGTACCTGGATCATCCATCATTCCGGATGTGCATCCCTGGCACTGCATGAGAAGAGCGCAGAGAGAAAATCTGGACCAATGGCGTTTTTGACCTTCATAACATTTTCCAGGAATCTTTTCAGTGCAACTCGTTGGAATAATAATCTTTGTGTTACGTTTTATTTAATAGGAGATCAAAACTAACCAAGGGAATTTCTGAGTTAAGACTGGAGCACGAACTACTCGGTTAATGCGTACGCAGTATTGATTCAAGCGCAGTTGGATGTTGCATCCAGTTTTGGGAGCCCAATTATAATAAGGAATTAACAGGATAGAGAGTACACAATGGGGATTTGCTGGGATGAACCTGGAGATGAGAGAGTTTTACTTGAAGTCTGAAAAGCTGGACTAACTGAGAAACAAAATAAAGTTGTATAGTAATGAAAAGCCAAACCCAACAAGAAGTAAAACAACTGGATAGTCATTTATATACCGTGGAATAAGAAAGTCAGATAGCTCTCTTTGGAACGTAAAATATGAACCAAGATTCATCAAAGTGGGTCCAATGTGAATATTCCACCATTTGCAGTTTTCTTTCTATCATGGTGTACATATTGTTGGTTCTACGTTGTGTTTAATGGTGCTTCACTAGTTCAATCACATGCATAACTAAACGTGAGCATTATATCGTTATCCAGCCAAATGCTTTTGGATTCATCATTTAGAAGAGATTCCATAACTTTTGTACACGTTCTCTTTATCTCTGGGACACTTTATGACCCCTTATATGGTGGAAAAAGTTTCATAGGCTCCTTGAAACGGTGAACCCTATTATTAATTAGTATTCTAGGTACACATTTTGTGGATATATTGGAGTAAATTCATTGTTATTTATTAAACTTCCAGTTTGGGGGAATTGGATAGTTTTAAGTACAGTGATGGGTTTCCGTATGTGTCAGACACCCACCTGAATGGAAAGAAAATCCAGTTTTTGGGTCATCCAGGTATGTGACACACGCAGAAGCCCATCATCGCACAGTTTCGAAGGCAGTTCCACAACCTGTAGACTCAAAATGAAGATGAACCTGGGAGATGAGGCAGACACTACCAAAGGTAACACTTTGAAGATTCCCTGAGTTAAGAAAATTTTGGGATGTTTTGATCGTCTGATAACTTGCAACCCAGCAAGATTATTTGATAGCGATGACAGGTTTTCATTAAAAAATAGTACTAGAACACTGAAGTTTAACTTTAGCCACCAGCAAAGTGGAATTTAATGTTAAAAATACTGTTGTCATACACGTCTTGTTTATTATATCATCTAAACCAAAGCAAAGTTACCGACAGACAGAAATCAAGATCTGGTTTATCAGGTAGAAGCCTATTCTCATGTGAAGCAACTGAATAATCTATACTCCAAGCAGATTCAACAGTAGATTTCAAAAGGGAATTAGATAGGTACGATGGGCTGAATGGCCTCCTTCTTTGCTGTAATATTCTATGATTTTATGTGTTCACATTACTGTAATGAGGAGAAGGAATTGGGAGCAGCTATGTGACAAACCACAACGCTCTATCTGCCACTCAGATAAAATGATGATTACATAGAGGTTACACTGGACTGCCAGTGCGGGACACAGAGTGAGTTTGGTTTGATCATGTGCAATGGTTCGTGTAAATATTCTATCCCACTCACACCCATGAATTGTATTATTTATACACAGGGATAAAGTGTCCTGAGAAATATCAACACGGAGTGCGCTGTGAGGATGATTCTTTTACGCCTGAGCTGGGAAGAACAGCGTTGTGTTGTGTGAAGCCCATAAGTGATCAGTGTGCTGTGTCAGTGAAGGTATTAGTGTGGGCACTTGTCAGATTGCAGAAACATGGCAAACCATGCATGTTGTTGAGGTGTAATGTTATTTATTAGTTGAATCATTTTGTCAGATTCTTCGCTAGAGAAGAGTCAAAATGAAGATGATACAGCTTCACATGTTCACCATTATCAGATCACAGGATCCTAACTGTACGTATGGTATTGCATTGTATTGTATTTGTATTTAATTGTCAAAGAGCAGGTTTGTTCACATAAGGAATTTCTGCCTTGCATAACAGAAATTCTTGACGTCAAAGCATTCGCACTTGGATAAAATTAGGTCGTTGTGGGCAAGGCTGATGTTCAGGGGTGACAGATGAAATCAGCCAGAACTAAACTTGTCTGAGATGAGCAGCCCTTCTATAACAGGATAGGAAAACAAACTATTATTGACGTTATTTGATGTTATTTGGATGACTTGGGATCAGTTTTCGAAAAGTATTTATAAACAGAGAACTTTACTTTGTACCAATTGATTGATACAACCCACTTTAATGAAGAAATCAATAACAAAGGGTTTAGTGAGCTCCTCTGTAGCAGGAAGGTGAGTGAGAGGTAAACGGTGTCTCTCCTCCTCTCCCCTAACCTGCTTATCAAGGCTCAGGGTTAACGTTTTGTTTTCAACAACTTCCACCTCAGATTGAAATAAGGAATTGGGAGTGAACCACCGATAGGGCATTGACTCAGAGGCCAGATAAGAGCTCCACAATAGAGTCAGCAATTAATGGCTTTGATCCACATTGACAGAAGACAAACTGAGCAAGTCTTAAAGACTACGAAAAGCGGGATTTGGCAAGTAAATAATCCTTGCATTTGATAATAATAATAATCCTTGCAAAATGCTTCGAATGGAGATACTTCAGGCAGTGAGGCTAAAATAGGTGGTAAAAAATGTGAAAGTTATCTTTTCGTGTTCATACTCCTGTTTGACATGTGACTTTATATGTGGATTGCCATCCAAGTGCAAAATTCATACACTGTACTTATAATAGTGCTTCTACGGTGTATTCCCAGAGAGATACATGCTTTATAAAGATGGTTTATGTGTAATGAATGAAAGAGCAAATACACTTATGTAAATATCTAGGTGATCTGAACAATATTGCCGTTGATTCTTTTGTTTGGCTTAGAATTCCCGAGAGTTCTCTCTCCCCCTACTTAAAAAAAATTCTTGAAATATTTCATAACCATCTATCTGTTTTAATCTCGATGGTAATCGACTGCCTGTCCGACATCAAATCCTGGACGAGGGCCAACTTTCTCCAACTCGACGTCAGCAAGACCGAGGCCCTCCTGATGGCTTGCACCAGCGCCTCCGCACCTCGGGCGCTGGCAGCATCAGCCTCCACGACTGCACACTCAACCTCACTAAGCCAGTCAGGAACCAGGGTATCCCTGTTTGACCCTGAACTGTCCTTTCTCCCCCACATCTGCACCATGACCGGCACTGCCTACCACCACCTCCGCAACATTGCCAGACTCCACCACTGCCTCACCCCTCAGGCTGCCGAAACCCTCATTTGTCATCTCAAGGCTTGATTACAGGAGCTCCCTCCTAGTTGGCCTTCCCAACTCTTCCCTTCACAAACTGCAGATCATCCAAAACTCTGCAGCTCGTATACTCTAACGCACCAGGCTCCGTGACCCCATCACTCCCACCCTCGCCCGACTCCACTGGATCACCATTCCCCAGAGGATAGAGTTCAAAATCCTCGTCCTCACCCTTAAGGCCATCCATGGACTTGCCCCCTCCTACCTCTCTGACCTGCTGACTCCGTACCAACCTTCCCGCTCCCTCCGTTCATCAGGCTCCGGCTGCTCCATGTCTCCCACCCTACCATTGGTGGCCGGGCTTTCAACCTCTCTGCCCCCATACTCTGGAACTCCATCCCACAGTCCCTTCGCCTCGCTTCCTCCCTCGCATCCTTCAAGGCTGGTCACAAGACCCTTCTCTTTGACCGTGCCTTTGGTCTCCTTCCCACCTCTCTGCCTTCCCTCACCCCTACC